GAAACTGTTTCTTTCTTTCTTTCTTTCTTTCTTTTTTTAAGGATAAGTTGTTCTCTTGTATACATACATACATACATACAGTACGCACGTACGTACGTAATTATTCGTATTCTTAATAAGGTGGTTTGAAATTTATACCGAGTATTATAGTTTGATGTGTTCGCTCATTGAATAAAACTAGTAACTAGCATGGACGCTGATGTTGAAACGGAAGTTGATATTACAACTACCTCTATCTCCGCGAATAGGTGAATATCGTGTTGCGGTTTCTCGCCAAAATCAAATATCATAATCCGTATTTCTTTTAACGATATCTTTGACAATAAATTAGCAGGGAGTGTGTAAAAAGTTTAATAAATACATTCGCATTAATTCATTTTTCCTGTCACTAAACATTACGTGAACAAACGATTAGATGGCAAGCGTGAACTTTATTAAATTTATAAATGTTCTTTGATTGATTTTTTTTTAATCAAACCTGTTCTCGTTTGAATTCCTACTAGTTTGTAAGTATGGACTTTTCCAAGCTGGTATTTCAAATAACATTCCGCTAACCAATAACCGAAACATCAAAATAGGGAGTGAGTAGAAGTCCATTAATTCCTATAATTTGCAAAAGATAACGTGTCTCTGCTAACCACACTCTCATCAATCTGACAGTCGGTAAAGTTCACTATATTCACCTTTTGAGCAATTACTTGACGCTTCTTTTTTTTTTAAAAAAAAAAAAAAAAAAAAATCGAACCAATCGTTAGCTTGTAAGTATGAAATCGATATTGGATTTTTTATCCAAATAACGATTTTCCATTTCATCACACGCATTTAATCACCTTAATTCGTCGAATCGCCAGTTGGTGAGTATAAGCAATGGTGGGTGGGTTCGTCGGAATAAAACTTTACTAATGAGCTGTATTATGTCGTACATTTAAGTCAAGTTACCAAATCGTATGTGCGAGTTTGTTTTTTTTACTGTGAATTTTTATCATCCAATCGTCATTTCTCTGATCGATCGCGTTCGTATCAAATCAACCAGTCGGCGAGTATAGTTTTTTTTTATTGCAATAATGCCGATTCAAAAACACGTAAGACATGTCTTTAGGTAATCAATAACATATGCATCGCGTCCAATTATTAGATGGTAAGTGTTGAGGTTAAATTTTAATAATAAAGAAATATAAAGTTTTTCTTTAATCGATCAATCATTTCACATTAAAATATCAGGGAGTGAGTATGAAAGAAACCCTTTGTTTTTTTGTTTTTTTTTTTTTTTGCCGCCTAATGGTTCTTGAGAAGGACGCCACTAATCAATCTCGAATCAACTTGGTAGTCGGTTAGTATCAAAGCCCACTCTAGCTTGATGTTCAAACAAATGTTGCACCAAAGGATTCCCTAACCAACCACATTTGCGCTGAAATTGACAGGGCGTAAGTTTAAAGCGGTTCTTTTTAGGAACCTTTTATAATACAACCTCACCAATTAATTCATATCAAATTTTGATAGTCGGTAAGCATGAAGGTTTATTAATCAAGTCCGGAATAACAATTCGTCTGAGATCACGTCTAACCATAATAACGTTCGCGTCGAATCATTAGATGGTAGGTAGAGAAGATTATCGCGTTGTCGAACAACTCAATTCTGATCGATCGCATTTTCTAGGGAGTGAGTATAAATTTCTGCTAGGATTATTATTGATCCGTGGTTTACACATGCATAAATATAGCACTCAAATTTTCACCCAAAACCACTTTGACCATTAGGCGGTGAGCGTACAGTAAATTATATTGAATTCGCGTAATATGTTCCCGAGAAACACTTTACTCATGCAAAATCACCACTAGATTGTGAGTACATGGTGTTGTTATCTTGTTCGATAATCGTTTCACCCTCCTAACAAATAGTATGCGCGCGTTTCAATAGTCGGTAGGTGTGGCTTATCGGGATTTTCGATTAAAATCAAATAACCTTTTCTAAATGATATCACAAAATTATCAGAGAGTAAGGACAAAGTCTAATTGAAATGATGTCTTATGATAACGCTTATCTGATCAATAATGAATGACATTCATCAGTCGGTGAGTGCGAAACCTGTTCGAAGCCAACCATTCATGTTAACCACGAACATCGCTAACCTAATTTCTGTTATTAGATTGTATGTGAGATGTTTACCTGATTCACGCTTTCTCATATCACGTTTCCAATTAACATTTGCATTATCTTCATAGTTTGTAAGCTTTGTATTTGTTTGAAGAGTCATTTATTTATCCTTGAGAAATGATTTCTCTAATCAGCTGCGGTGGCATTTTTTTTGTTGAATTATTAGGCGGTGAGTACGAAAATTCAATTATTGTCGTATCTTCACATCCAAATCGTTATTTATTTTTGAGGGGATGCGCATTAAACTAATAGAGAGTGAGTACAAAACCTGTTAAGTCAGCAAGCAACAGCAGCAGCCCTAACATTCTTAATCGATCGATCCCATTTGAATCTTGCCGATAGGGAGTATGCACGAGAATTTATTGAATTCATGATTCGCGAGTAAACGAACCTTGCATTTTTAATGCGCGTCTCTAATCATTGCATTTGCCTCAAATTAAAAAAAAAAAAAAAAAAAGGAGGTTTGATTATACGCGTATAGTTCATCCCGTTCACATCCAGACCGATTCATTCTTTAATTGATTGAACCTATATCAACCCCCTAGTCGGTGTGTAGGGTTTCGTCGGATTCTCGTTTGGAGATCATATTTTCGATTGATAACAAAAATCAATTTTTCGTTCTTAAATGGAACTTCCCTAATAAATGTTTTCGCATCAAATTGTTAGAAGGTAATTTCTTGAAATATTTATTTCAAGTTGACCATTTATTCTCAAGTAACATTTCCTCGGATCAAATATCATTAGTCTGTAAGTAAAGTTTATCGAGTGAGTTATGCTTGTTGCACGAGTCCAGTAATCTCAACCACGACCATAATTTTCGTTTCGTACGTACAATAGGGAGTGAGTAATGAGCATTTTCATTAAATCGGCAAAACTCGTTTTTCAAATGGCATTCTCGTTAATCCATCGCATTTTCATCAAGTGCCGTCGCTAATCAGTGAGTATAATGTCACGTTTAACATCAGCCTTCAGTGAGTTTGCTTCTAATAAATTCTTTTTTTCGCTTTGCAATGATAGAGAGTAAGCGCATGAAGTTTTGTCGGATCAATGTTCACGGATAACAATGCATTCGCGAATGACAAATGAAATGAAAAATGTAACCACAGGAGGTCGGTAAAAGATCAATAACCCGATGATTCGCCCGTAAATAACAATATATAACTAATCGTATTCGCATTAAAATCTCAGTCGGTAAGAATAATTCACGGTTATTCAGCTATTCAGACATTGATTCTTTAACACCATCCATCCATCCACCGCAAATCATTAGCCGGTAAATATAAAAATTTTTGTTTATGATTGAATTGAACTCAAGACAATAAACGCGCCTCGACAATATCATTTATCAGATGGTAAGTAGTATATGGTAGAAAGTTCATGGTTGCTAAACATCAGATAGCATACTTACAATCAAACCAAATTTCAGGGAGTATGTATGAATAATTGTTGTGAAAATATCTACGCGTCGTTGTTCAATCTTCCAAGTAATGATTGTTAATCTCAATTGTGCTAGTCGGTGAGTGAAGTTTGTACAATAGCTTAACAAGTCGAGGTTGATTGAAGTTCTAACGGACGGTACACAAATTCCTAGATTGTGAGTGTAAAATTATTGGTGTTCACCGTTTCCGAATTTCAGATGGCATATACTGTGTTGTACTCTTTACATTAATTATTCCTTTTTTCTTTTTTTCTTTTTTTTTTAACGGAATCCTTAGTCGGTAAGGATAAAGTTTACCACGCGTCTCCGTATTCACATGCTTGGACCAAACAATTCTCCCGGATAACATTTCTTTTGCAAATGACTTATAAGAAAGTGCGTATGAATTCCACCTGAATTGCGGTAGTACAGAACGACCCTTTTTGGCTAATCAATTGTTTATTAAATGTCCAGCCGGTAAATATGATCACCATCGAAGTCATTTATCGTATTCGAGATGCACCATTAATCGATTACGTTTCGCTTTGGATCGATCGATGATCGATGTAGCTAGTAAGTGATAAATTTTACCGTGATTGATACTTGAAACGATAATTCATCTCACCCTAACCCTCGTCTGTACCAAAATTATCACCGCAGTCAGTGAGTGTGAAGCATTAACGACCGTCATGGTCGCTTTTTTTTTTTTTTTTGAAAAAAAATTAATGCACAATAAATGTACCACGAATAACCCTTATTTTTGTACAACATACCAGATTGTAAGCATAAAGTTCGTAAAATTAAATGATGCCGAGGTTCCTCTAATCATTCATATTTGCGTCAAATTAAATTAAAATAGGTGGTAAGGAGGGATAAAGATCGGAAAAATATTTAACTCGAAGATTGCCATTATTAACGCATCTTGGATTACGTAACCGCATAATAGTTTGTGAGTGTTGTAAAGATCCACGTGAACCATTCTCATATTTCCGCATTAACGCATTATGTATAATCTATAGAACGTGAGTACGGGTTCCTCTGAAATTCTTTTACTGTGAATCAACGATTGCACCGTCTCGATCCGTTCACTTCAATTATAGGAAGTAAGTATTAAAAAAAAAAAAAAAAAAAGCGAATTTCACCCGAATCTCCAATAACATGATTGTTCTCCTGACAAATAATATGGAACATCAGCCTGTAAGTAGAAATTCCACTTGAGCAAATAATTTCTTCTTGACTAACCGACCATAACGGCCCGAATGGAGCAGAGAGTAAGTAACATCGATTCATTTTTAAATGCAATTTCTTGCTCGATTGGTTAGTCGATTGATCGAATTACATCAATCGTCAATCAGGTGGTAATTATAAACTTCAGTTGATGAATTAAAAGTGGAATTTCGAATGTCTCTATTCAAAATACTCCATTTGAATGAATAGGGGGTGAGTAATTGGATCTGTGATTGGGTCCATGCCCATTTTTAAACGGTGCCCATTGATAATTTGCAGGGAGTAAGTATCAAGCTAGCAGCAGTAAAGTTTTGATCCTTTGAATAACGCTTCCTCATTTGTGTTGGCAGAGAGTGAGTATGAGGTTCGATGGAGGCTTGTTTACTCGAATCAATGATCCAATGACTTACTTCAAATAACAAATCCCATTCACGTGTACGCCGAATAAAGGGAGTGAGTATAATTGCTCGGTGGATTCGTGTTGAAATCAAACAGTGATTCTCAATCGATTTCTCCCCATCAATCGCATTCATGTCAAATAATTATTAGCTTGTAAGTTGGAATCTATCAGATTGGAATGAATCGAATTAACGATGCCAATTTATCCGTTCTAAACGACATTTTAAAATGATTTTAGAGAGTAAGTGCAATGTTTGTCCAGGTCGACAATTCCGCCTAGCTCTTTTTAACCAAATTTTCTCTCTAATCGGCAGCCGGTAAGTGTGAATGAAGCTCATGATTCGCATCCAAATAGAATGATCGGTTCTAAAATCAGACCTCACTAATTAATCCCATTCACATATTATCAGATTGTAAGTGATCCATTGAAGATTTGTTGATGTCCATTTGATAAACTTTTTAATAAACCACATTCAAATCAATTAAAAGGGAGTGAGTATAAATAAAATTCTGCTTAAATTACGTAACAATTGATCTTAAAATGACATCCCTTCTCGTCCATATCAAATTCCTAGTCGGTAAACGGGATTTGAATTTCTGATCAATATCCTTCTCGTTCGGTGATCACTTCTTCTAATTTATACCACCCCGCTTCCAAATTTTAGATGGTAAGTGTAAAATGCATTGATCCGTGGTTAACTTCAATCTATTCTTAAATAACAAGCATCTAATTTAAGGGAGTAAGTATACGACACATACTGAATTCGCGACAAAATAGCCATCGCCTAATGCAACCCTTATCCACGCATGATCAAACAGAGAGTAAGTACGGGCTTGTGGCGATATCGAAGATTCGGATTCAAATGGCTTTACACAGTAACTAATCGTACCAATGCCTTATTATTAGGTTGTAGGTTCAAGTTAGTTCATAACGTTCATGCGCACATTTGTACAACGCAATAACGAATTATCAATCACATCCACCCCAGTTTGTAAGTGTCAAGTTATTATTAATGGATTCCCGATTAAACCAAACGACCCACTTATTCTTGGTACCACTCGCAAATATTTACAGGGAGTGAGTAAAAGGGTTTTTTTTTTTTTTTTTTTTTTTTCTTTTGCAAATTACGCGTGACACTTTATTTCGCGTGCTTGGCGTGACACTTTTATTTCACGTGCTTGTGACACTTTGAATCACGTGTTCCACAACACTTTCTAATTCATGCTCTATACAACGCCTTTCTAATTGTGATTTTATAGTCGGTACGTTCAAACTAACCCAGGCTCCTGCTCTTCTTTAACTAATCACTTTCGCATGAAAATTTCCAGTCAGTGAGTATAGGTTCATCGGGCTGCATTGAATGGGGTATACATATATACTGTATATACTGTATATATACATATTAATTGATCGCGTTTACTCCATTTTACTAGGTGGTAAGCATAAAGCGCATTTGGATTCACATCTAATTTATCTGTTGCATGTGGATAATGACACCTTTCTAATCCGACCAAATGATAGGGAGTGAGTATAACGTCCAATCATCTTGTACCTAAAACTAATAATTCAAAAAATGGCACTCGCATTCGCGTTAAATTGACAGACCGTGAGTATTATTACTTCATTAATCGGGTTCCATGTGAATGGCATATTCGTGATGTTTAACCATATTCGAATCAAATCGGCAGGGAGTAAGTGTGAAGCTTTCGTTTCTTCATTCGATCGGCATATTTTCAATTATTAAATGCGCGTTGAACCCAGAATGTGCAAAGAATGCGAACAACCGTGCAATAGCAGCGGATGGTGCAATTCTTGTTGCGCTAAGCGGTTTCAACGGAACTTCAAAAACTGGACAAGCGGTAGTGATATCGTGGATAAATTTATTCAGGACGTTCAACTTCAAGCGTGTAACTCCGACGAAGTTCTCGAGTGGGTGCCCTTTGAGAAGTTCCGAGATGTCGCGTATCTGTCCAAAGGAGGATTTGGCACTGTTTACAGGGCAAAGTGGATGGATGGTTACATTCTTCGCTGGAATAATGAAAATCAAAAGTGGGATAGGTCTTCCGATAAGGATGTGTGTTTAAAAAGCTTGAATAATTCGGCCGACATTTCCTCTGAATTTTTGCAAGAGGTGTGCATTTCAAATGATTCTTTGTGATAAATATATACTGTATATATTTTTTCAATTTTCCTGTTTTACAGGTTCGAAGCCAGTTGAAACTTAGGAAGAAAAGTGCATCGATCGCCATTTATGGCATAACCAAGGACCCGGTAACCGACAATTACACAATGATCATGGATTATGCTAAAGAGGGAAGCCTCAGAAATATGCTTAACAATGAGTACAGCAAGCTCGGTTGGGATGACAAAGTAGCCCACATATATTTGATTATCAATAACCTGAATGAAATCCACAAGGAGGGATTGGTCTACAAGGATTTTCATTCCGGAAACATAGTTTGCTATAACAAATTTAACCCGTACTTTACAGACTTCGGAATGTGCAGGCCTGTGTCGCAATCGAAGGTTTCAAACGAAATCTATGGTGTGCTCCCATATGTAGCTCCCGAGATACTAGCGGGCCAAGAATACACCAAACCATCGGACGTATACTCGCTCGGCATTATAATGACGGAAATTTTAACAGGATATCCACCATACCATGATGTCCCACACGATGCATACCTTGCGGCGCAAATATTGAACGGCCTCCGTCCCGAATTGCACCGCAGTATCCCCGAACTACTAAAGAATGTGATCGAGCGATGTTGCGACGAGGATCCGGACAGTCGTCCGTCTTCCGCGGAGCTTTTAAACATCTTCGGGCAATGGAGGACCGAAGAATGGGGTTACTTTATCGATAGATCGTCTGAATTATACAGGCAGATTCAAGAAATCGACCAGAATTCAACCGAGTACGATCCTAAAAAAGTTGTCTTCAATCCACGTGCCGTCTACACCAGTCGGCTTTTAAAGGTTTCGGCACCCGGGAGCGCGTACGCGCACGGTAAGCACTATTTCAAATCAAATTTTCGACTTTTACGATGCATCATTAATAAACGGATTAATCTACCAGACTCGAAACAAATTGAGCTCATATGCCCGGATAGTCAGAATTGTGAGTAGCCGAAAATAAGCGAATGGTTTTTAAATTCATGTTCACATTAAATAATGTTCTGATAAATTTTTATTGAAATAGTTAATGAAAGCGAAGAGCATTTCTAGAACTGACGCAATTAATTCTCACGACGACCACCATTTATGTTCCATTGAACTTCGTATAATTATTGGTCGCAAAGTTTTTCACAACTTTACATTTCCTTTTCCCTTAATTGAATTCTCAATGAGTTTGAAAGCCTCTAAGCCTGAACCCCAACTTGTTGCATAACCTAATTTAGAAACCCAGAGTTACACATCATATTTATAAGCCATACGATTAAAGAAATATTTGCCTATCATGTTCATGAAATTCAGTTTCGTAAATGCATTACCGTAGGAATGATGTCCGTAATTGTGGCAAACTATGACGTCTTTATTTTTAGCATTCTTTCGGACCTCAGTCTCCAATCGAATGCCATCTCTTCGGTATGGTCTTCTCCCAACATTGTGACTCATAATCTGCAACTCCTGCGGTCCTTTACCTGATGTTAAGTCCGGACATAACTTAACACATCGTTGGATGATTTCTTCTGCGGTTTTGGGGTCTGGGCTTTCGGTGCTATCGAGCGGTGATGTTTTATTAATGCATACTCGTAATACGAATGCGCGCATAATTGCAGGAGCTGAGGAAATGAGTGACTAATTACTAATCATCGATGCTCATGGTTCCTCCAAGAATGACCTCTCCACTTTCTCTAGGAACAATAAACGTAAAAGAGTCGCGATCTTTTGTTGAAATTTGACAGATTGGTTTATTAACTTTTTCCTTTCAAACTCGTGACAATGAATGACCTTGGCAAATAGTCAATGACACCTACTAGATAGAATGTAAACTGTTTTAATGTGCGGTGCCCAAACGGAAACAGTTTGACCACGTGAGGGAAGAACCGTGGTATCGGCGACACCGCCGAGAGTTCTAGCACTGACCCCCGAGCAATTCACCACCACACCAACGTCATCAGAATCATAGAATGATTCATCAATGTGAGAGAGATGGACCTTTTTACTCACGCCACCATTGGTGGTGAATTGGTGGAGCAGCCAGTGTAAGTATTTTTGAACGTTTAAACTAACTATCAACCATAAATAAGGGTGTCATCATTTATCAGACCATGGGAAACGCGCATTGGGCGCATCAACGCGAATGCATAAAACGACGAGATGACAATGACCTGTGGTATAGGACAGTCCGTATTCTACGCCAGAAGGTAATTCCTCTGGTGGTATTACCCTGAACTAGGCATTGAAAGGAGAAAAAAAAAAAAAAAGAGAGAGAAAATTCGAGGTGGCTTCACGAATGAATCGATAAAGAATCCCTTTATCTCGACAAGAAAATGATACTACCTCTGGGACAAGATCTTTAAACCACATGTCTCTCTCCAACTCGGGTTTTTTATCCATAAAGTCATAAATTTTTACGCGCATCAATCCAATTTCAGGGGTCTCGGATAATTTCCAAAATTCATTCCACGAAATCCTTTCATACTCTGTTCAAGAATGTGATCCTCTTAATTTACGCTGAAGAAAAAAAGGAAAAAAAAATTGTTTTCAACCCCACTTGCCATGCACCACCTCATCGTCAATATTAGGGTTGGCTCTCCAAGTCGCCGTTGCCCACGGACTCGAATAATTGATGTCAAAATCACCGGGCCAATGTTCGGATAGAATTTGCACTTGGTATCCATTTTTTTGCAGAATCAAAGCAGTGGTGAGGCCTATGACTCCGGCACCAATAACGTTAACCTTGATTTTTTTGGACATCTTTCTTTCTAATAGAGAATGCAATGAGCAGATATCCAGCATTAAATGCTAGCCGAAATTCGGTGTTACATCTGTATGCTATTGTGTGAATGCAGCATACTATTTTTAATAATTATACTTATTATAACTTTGATATTAATATAGCATAAATTTTTAATCACAAGAGTTAGAACTCATTTATTATACAAAAAAAAATAGAAGAATATGATCTATCTCAACTAGATGCCAACAAATATAATGCTACCAACAAAGGAATTACAGCTTCTTTTGATAATAAAAAAATATATTTAAACCACCCTTTAGATCTAAGTGAGCTTATATAGCCTAAAAATATAGCAAATTTATCCACACCAATCTCAATTTTTTGAACCATATGATTGTAGCTACTTGCCTTAGAGAAATATAACCTGTTAATAATAAAGAATTTGCCTGCAGTAAGGGGGATTTTAATAGAGACAATTTTTATATAGTTAAATGGAGAATTAAAGTTGGTATTTTTTAAAAAATTTGTTACAATTTTTACTAGAAAATACTTTTTATTACTGACCAGAGAATAAATTGCATAGTATTACAATGTTGTTGATAGAAGGTATAACTTGTGAATTGTCTTAAAACTTGATAAAAAATTTCAACTATAAAAAAATAGAGAGAAGATAAAAAAAAAAAAAAATCATATAAATTATCAATATAATTAATTATTGATAAATCAACATATTTTGCAAGTATTTAAAATATTAATAATAAAAAATAAAAAAAAAATGATACAGAAAATCAAGTTATTTTAGAAGATACTAGCTATAGTAAGAAGTATATTAATATAGAAGTGAACAAATAATTATAGATAGGATAAATATATTTATTGAAACATGTTCAAAATTGTTATAATTTCAAATCAAATCAATTTAAAATAAATCAAATCCATATTTGATTTATATTTATAAAAATTGGATCAAATTGAATTTAGTTAAAATCCAATCTTATTTAATCTGTTGTGATTATTAAACCCTAGTATACTCAAATAAAAGAAAAATATATTGTATAGTCTATTCCAGCTTTTCAACTGATATATTAGAAAAGACATCATTCTCAAAGAATAAAATTCAGTTTACTTCATATTAGTTATTATACAACTCTACTAGAAACTATACTCTATTTCAATTAAATAGATTATCTCAAGCATTAAAAGTAATTCTATCACAAATTTGTTTTCTTTCACAATTAAATAAATATAGAAATCTGATAAAAGAAAAACAAATTCTTTTGCCAAGCAACTCCACAGATTAACAAACAACTACAAGGCAACAAATATTAACTCCATCAATTTTAAAACTTATATAAGTAAAAATCTAAATAGAAAATTGAAAAGTCATATTAACAAGACAAATCATTCAATCAGAAAAATATATATATATATACTTATAAATATCTTGAAATACAATAAAAGAAGTATAGTTATACTCAATTGCCAAAACTCTTTTCGCAAATCCTTCAGATCCTTAGAAATTTTCTTTTTAGGCAATACACCCAAGGAAAGAGACAACATACACAACTCAAG